TGAATCTGCTTTCATAACATATAATCAATTTAAACCTTCTCAGCTTCACGAATCCGGCAACAACGCTGTATAAGGAAAAATTTTTACAAAATAAGCCTTCTTCCAATCTCCGTAACTAACGGAGCTTTCTTATTTCGATAACGGAGAATTATGGATTGTCTCACTACTGCGCAAAATATGGAGAGGACATAATGTTTTTATTGCTTTGAAGAAATTCATTAACCCATAAATTAATAAATGATTACTATTATGACGTAAAGGAAGATGAGGAATTGGATGGAGTGTATTTTATATTCTATTTTCTTGCAAAATACGGACAAGTCCACACTATTAAACAGGTATGTAATGATAACTTTCAGTATATTGAAGTTGGTAAATTCGAGAGTCCCATGCATTAACAAACGTCCAAACCTGCTGCCAAATTTAACAGCTAGAAAATCGACCTATTATTTGCCGCATTCCCATTCGCTGAGGGGGATAACGGATTGTTAAATGTAAACCTATAAAATATATCAAAATACGAGTACATGAAAGTTGTCCTGTTTTTTCTGTACAAAAGCAGCATGTTGGAATCAAAAAGTGGTCTTGTTTATAATACAGTCGAATTTTCACGATTTTATTCAACATTTCAATAGAAATGACTAATATTCAGAGACCTTTGAGAGCTTCTGTCAAATTGCATTTCGATAAGGTATTTTCCCATTGGTCCATAATATTAATGTTGGTGAAATCGGCCCTTAGTTTCGCAATCCAGAGTATTTCCGACTATAGACAAAAAACGACAACGACGAATTTTTCCGAAATCTTTTCTATTTTTTCCTGACAATTCAAGGTAAACTTTTGAAATATATCGGACATTAGTATTGTCATTTTTCTCTTATCTATAAAGCTGAATAATGATAATGTTTGGATCTCCGGTCCTCAACCATAAACTTCATTTCCTATTATGGTCGATTTACCAAAGATGGATAGTGTTTTTAGTTCTGATTTGCACAAAATAAAATCTGTCATACAGTTATTTTGTAAAACTGTAATTATTTTAATTATCAGATAGTCATTCATTTCACAATATTAGCAAGGCTTTCAACCAGTTTGTACGAAATGGGCCTAGGTGAACACTTTGAATTTTAATGATATCATATTGTACGTAGCGTGGCATAGACTGAATATAACTAAAGTCCAAAAAACTAATAATCTATTAGTTAGCTTTGACTCATCGAATAAAGAACAAGATAATACTTACTTTTTCATTTTCTACTGGAGTGTAGTAATGAAAACAATCAAAACAGTACAATTCTTAGAAACCGATGGAAACATTTTAAAATGAGTGTAGGATTCGACGATTTTACAAGTTGCTCAATACGTTTCATATCTATTATATTTAAACCAATGCAACCATCTTACATTCAAATAATATTAATATACGCCTAAAGTGTCAGGTAGGTGCAAATCATTACGATGAATTTCTGCTACCATACAATTATAAATCAAACATTTTGGGGGTGTTCTCCGTTGCGGCACTCACGAAGGCTGCAACTTTTTGAAAACACAAGTTATTCTCAAAATCTGTGAGTCGAATATAGCTATTCAAGTCTTAGGGCCCTACGCGGAATATAACACGATTTACTTTAGTAACGAAAGATACATGTATGCCTGAAATTCAAATTGAGTCGAACCCCAAATTTCATTGAGATGTTGTTATTCGGATTTTGTCTATATCGTTTTTTGATTCCGTTCCACTGAAGATCACTTCAATCGAAATATCCTAACATTCAAAACACTCCGCATACCTTTTCCGGCAGAGTAACAATTTACTACTATTCATAAAGACTTATAATTGCAAAATAATATTTATCGCAACATACGGCAAATGCGAGTTCTGGATTGGTATCACATAAATCGATGTTACGAGATATTAAATGCAGAGATCGGGTTTGCATTTTTTCGCTGTAATATACGGTTATGCTTTTGGATATTAGATTGTCAAGATAGCAGCACCATATACCTAAGGCTTAAGATTTTTTCCAATCAAATTACAATGAAATCTGTAATAGTTAGAGCCAACATATTTTAATCAGATCAGTATCACATCATCAGAATTTAGTGATAATTCCGTCAGTGTCAGTGGAGTCTGACTTCACGGTCAGAAATATCACTTTCCATAATAAATAATGACATATCGCAGTGAATGATTATCATGTGACATTTGCCTTAGAGTTAAAAATGTATATTGAGGATATTTCGTATGGAAGTAAACGATATCTACCCTTATTAGTTAATTATGAAATATTAGATGTTATGTCTTTATAATGCCCGTATTTATATACATAAGATAAAATGTGAAAACAACATAGCATTATATGACGAAGGGTTGATTAGTAAATCGAGAGCTACCTAATGTTTGTCATTACTCGGAACAAGAGGCTTCGCGATTCATGGGAGAAGCCAAATAAAAAATGCAGTCCCAGACCTTCAGAATATAATGTCTAAATAATAGTCAGCCTCTCTAACTCCAAGTCTCTGATCTTATAGTAGTATACGAGTATATGTATAATTCCTGGTCTGTATACTCGTAGTTATACCCCTACACCTGATAATTTTGAAGGTTTTAATAAATGTATTGCATTTTTTTCTTAATCTAGTATTTGCTTGTTGGAGATTCCGATATCAAACTCCTCTCAATGCAGGAGTTCTTAATTACAAATATGTGCCAAAGTATAAATGTTAAATATTTTGTCGACCTTTGGAAGAATAGTGGAATCGGTATGCAGAAAACTTTTTTCGCTCTATTTATTGTATTTTTATATCTAATACAACCTACATCAGTCTATGCCAAGACAGAAACAATATATGGTATTACGACTGGTTCCCTTGAACGCTAAGCAGCGAGATAGTTTGAATATAAATATGCTAGCCCTAGTGTTTCCTTTTTGCTCAAAAGCAGTTACTCATACTATCAACTATTCGCTTGAAAAAGGGTTAGTACCCCATAAAGTTAGACCTCGTGCTGAAATTGATTGATCATAGACCAGTTCCAGTCTTATCGTCAAAAATGTTAACACAAATTGCAGTCGAGATTTCGAAAAAAGCACAGCACTGTAACAACTCTGCTTGATGATTATGACATCTTCATGATGGCAATAGATAATTCTTACGTTACTACTGCTGTTATGATGGATCTCAGTAAGGCCTTTGGTTGCCTGAATCACGAATAACTTTATGCAAAACTTCATCATTTTAGTTTCTCCGATAGTTCTATCAGTTTCGCCGTTATTTTCACGAACGCACTAAGAATATAAAAATCGGTGACATTTTATCAGAGGAGGGTACTATCTCCAAAGGTGTACCTCAAGGAACTATTCTGGACCGATTTTGTTTTCTCTATATCATACGTTTCGGACTTCAAACTATCAATCGACTGAATTCTGCAAATTACATACCTACCCCGACGATACACATTTATTCATCTTATAACGCCGCCAATTACACCGAAGAGAATGAGATGCTGTCTGAGGGTTTAAATAATATATGTGATATTATTTGTGCATGTTTCCTCGCTTGCCTCTTTTCATTTGCTTGAGTTTTGTATACGGGTCTGGTTGCCTACAGCGCCAGCAAAACCTCCTTGCATTTTGTGTTATCGGAATAATTGTGTCAGATTTGTGAAAGATACCAGTTATATTACTATAAGCAAATGAAACTGTCAGTATTTTCGACTATAAGAAACTTCCTAATTGTAGAATATCTTGAATATCCCTTTGGTTCCGCCACTGTATACATCATTATACATATTAACAGTGCAATCTGTCTATCAATCAGTCTGGTCTTGGATTTAGTCTGAGTTATGGGTTATGATTCCGATACCCAATTTGCTGCTGTAAGACGAGATTGCTTGACCTAGCAATATGCACTTTGCCGACGTTCGGCTGTTTCTAATGGGAATCTTCATGCTTGATTAGTCTTTAATTAATTTGTAAACACGGGATTAATTTGTGATCCACAATTCCGAACTATAACTAGTATCTGTATTGAGAAGTTCAGGGGTAGATTATCCCACGTCTTGCGTCAGGACGGGGAATATTCAATGGTCCCACTTATGTAATTTGTGGGTTCTAACTGACGTCAAACTTTTAGATTGGACTCATCAATATTTAATACAGGGTGTTTGGAAGGTCTATACAAACGTTTAAAGGGCTGATAAGCTGAACAGCCGGAATACAAAACTAGTGCTGCAGACTGAACAAGAAATTATGGTTAACATTCGGTTATTATATAAATGGATAACCTGCATGTTAGGCTTTTTGTAATTTCGATTCAGAAACCGGTATCTTTATATTTCCAGTAAGAAGTATCAGCCTAAAGGAACTTGCTTTTGTTTTGGATACCATTAGAGTCCGACCATGCGTTTCTTGTGAAGCTATCAGTGCTTAGTTGTATATCACGGTACAAAATACATAACAAATGTTTCTGTATGAATGCAACACTAAATTTAGCTATGAATCTTCAACAACTAATCTGTCTCAACGAATTTCCTATAAAACAATGCGCATTTGGATCAAAAAGGACTGTTTCTGTCAGCTGCCTGCTGCTTCTAGCTGCTTCCGAGCCTTATGGGAGAGGTGCTACTTCGAGCTCGCAAGCACTCTGCTCCATTTTATTGGAAAATAAATTGTAGGCCTGGAAGTCTAGATGCGGTATATGGCGGTGCTTTAAAACAAACCAGTAGAAATTAACCGTTCTATGCTAGAAGCGTAACTGAAGTCAAAAACAGTGGATCTGGACCAGTAACCGTCTACATAGCCTCTCTTGGATGAAGAACTGATAATCTTGACAACGTCAGTAGCCATGACAAAATTATCTCCGACGATTGCGTCTGACTGAATTCTTAAAATGCCCGACTCAAGCTGCAAGATCGCGAGTTGCTCTCTGGAAGCTGGATACATCTCTCTGCCGCTGGTAATTTTTTTCACCGATCATCAACTATCGAAACTAGTCCTTACCTATAGTCCCAGAACTCTCGCTGTGACGCGTTGAACCTCTCGTGCCCTTCAGAGTATTCGTTGCCTCTATAGTTCCCCAACCAGATGTCGTAGCCAGCTTCATACAAGAGAAATGCTAAAAAATATAAACAGATTTAATGTACGGAAAAACAAACAAGCAGCAAAGTGAGACTTTACCATGTGAGCAGCTTGTTATGCAATGGAGTGCAGAATCATGTAGTTGAAGAGTTTAGGAAGTGCTAAGAGCAAATGAGAAAATTCGTACTACCAGCAAAACATTTTATGTTAGAATTATGTGGCTTGAAGCAGAACCATGTAAGTAAGTAGTGTAGAAAGCAATTGAGTTATAAGAGAGCATGTTGAAAGGCCCCCGCGGCTGTCTTTTTGCTGTTAAAACTCATAAATGAAAAGATAGAAAGAGGCTGCTTATCACGTGTCACACGTTACCAAGAAATTCAGGATAGGTATAAAGATCCAGTAAAAGATTTGCTTCTATCCTTATTATCGTCAGTCGGACGGATAATTTTTAGGAGGTCTTTATGGCGTCTATGATTTTCATAGTATTTTATTCAGAAAGGCTTGGGTATTTCTAGATTTCTACTGTTCTGTGTCAGCGTCGGCGCTCTCCTATTGTGAAGCTACGATTTCTTTCAGAATTGTAGGAAATTCCAGGCTATACAACAGACGATATAAATCAAAACTATGGACAATTTGATGCAAACAGATATTTGTAACATACACACAACTCTCACATTTTCTTTCCTTCATTTTGCCAGCTTCGATATAATTCAACAAAATCGAATGTTTTGATGAAATTGTATTGTATGCTGCCATGTAAAATGAATACCACTAATGATGTTTGATCATCTCCTTAGTGAAGAAATAAGTAGACCAAACCGTGCATAATACATTTTTTGGATAGGTTGACTATATCAGTTGACTCTGATTTTATAAGTAAGTGAGTAATTGAACTATCGTGTAGTGGGTTTTTGCATTTAAACAATAAAATGCAAACCAAAAACTATTTCGATAACTCATCCGCTAATCGGTTTTGCCATTCGCCACCAATGGACTATGGATAGATAAGATTTCCAGTACGCACCAAAATTAAGCACGCTCCTATCAAAAAATTATTGGTTGTACTATTGGAGATACGATTCACAACTATTCATATAGGAAGACGGCAATATATTTTTTGTAGTATTTAATGAAAGCCAAAATAGTAAAAAATCGAAAAATAACAGTCGGCTACGTGAGTTGAAGAATCTATTTTTTCCAGGGTTATTATGTTTTAATCAAAATGTTCAAAACACGTGTTTTAAATACTGTTTAAAGCAATGAAGGTGTTTTAAACCAATTAGTTTTGAACTGTTTAAAACATGTTCTAAACACTGTTTTTTGTCGTTTGTGAATTATTCAAGTTTTTTTTATATTCCTTCAAGTATGATTAAAAATGATTTTATTTGGCAAAACGAAACTAAAAGGGCAATAGGTTAAAACGCATAGGTACTAAAAATATACTTTATTTCTTATTATTTAATCAAATATAAAACCAGGGAACTAATACTATTGTAAAAAATCTGATTCTTAACGAACGAGTGAACTTGATAAACTGCATTGAACTCTCATACTAGTACTCCACAAGCAGCAGAATAATCATATAATATGACTATGTATTTACTTGTATAATAACTTAAAATAAGTTACTTAAAAAATTTCTATAAAAGTATACAACCCATCTCATTTAACAAATAATCACAAAATCCTTAAATCCATATTTTTTAAATATAAAATCATGGAAAATGTACATAGAATAAATATTTTTTTTTTCACTACTTTTTACGGAAAAATGGACCTTTTTCACAATTCTCCAGCTACTCAACTTTGAAGAAATAGGTTCGGTAGAAACATCATCATTGTCGGTATCAGAACTATCTGATATATGAATCTTTTGCTTTTCTAAGAAACTTCATTGTTTAAGTTGTTTAGAATTTTTTAAAAGGTTGCGCATTCTAGCCACCAGTGACACTATATCCACATTGTAGGTTAAACATTTTGTTCTTTTATTTACTTTCGAGCCAGCTTTGGCATCAGTCTGCTTAAAATATTTCCACACGGGATCTTTTCTCCTCCCTGTCATTGCCTTTCTTTTTTTGCCGATCTTTAATGCACAAAAAACAAAACACACCACCACACTACGACTTCGCTGATTTGACTGCTGGAGATCGCAACTAGAAGAATTACTCAAAGGCAAACAGTACTTCCCCGACGTCCGTACGGTAGTTACATGACTATCGATTTCAAATTAGAGATGTGCTCTGATAAAGCTGGATCAAAAATCGTAATAACACTTTCAAGAAACTTCATTAACGTGGCTAGATTATATACGCAATAGTTTTTTTTTACTATTTTAAATATGTATTAACAGTGTTCTGAACATGTTTTTTTTTCAGCTAAGTTTGAATGTTTTAAACAGACAAAAAACAGTTTTAAACAAAAAAAGGATGATGTCTTTTTCAACCCTGATATTTTCTATTTCGTCATTTTTTAGCATGTTTCAAGTCAAAGCGTTCTAAGAAGTGGAAAAAAACTATAAAAATTGATTAGTTACCATGATGATAGACGACAATTGTCGCCTAAAATTTCAAAAAAACAAAATTCACAGTATTTAAAATAAAACTTATTTTACGATGATGGGTCATACTTTTTTGATTCTGTCATCAAATTATAGTACCGCTAGATGTAAACCTATTATAGAGGATTAACCGATATGACACAAACAACATGATTACAGGATTCAGATAAAACTTATGGCATCAGATTTCTTGAAATAAAATCAGTTTGGCTTCGACACCTTATGACTTCAAGCCACTAACTTTTTTATTAGTTTTTCGATTGGCGTTTTTTTCGTAGAATGCTTGGTTTAAAAATAAGCTATAAACAGCTCTTGGCCGTCTTTGACTACTGTTCTTAGAAAAACCGCAAAAATAAATGTATTTTCATCTGCCTTTTTTATACCTGTATAAGTCGTTTCCATTCTTTAATTTTAGCAGCTGAAAACTTAATTCGCCAGCAGTAAATATACTGTGTTATAATCGATATTTTAAAGCAGGAACCGATAGTCTTTAATACAGCAAAGTAATAAACTATTGCAATCATACACAAATCTTCATAAAAAAGCCTTATGCAATTCTGAAATCCCATGCTTTCGTATTCTTCGCATGATTCACTACATTACCAAGGTGGCAGGAGTGCCTCAGCTGAATAAGTTGTGTGGGTTTTTCCAAAATTTCCAGTTGCCAAACTACCTCCTCATAGTTTATACAAGATGGTTTTGCTTGTATACGTCAGAATACAAAGCCTTTTCAACTAGTGGCTAGACTTGAGAAAGGCACCCGACTTAGTGAATATCTTAGGACATACCAGTTTCGCAGCCTCTAATAAGAGTAGCTTTTTTATTTCGACTTGTAGACAAGTAAAATGTATAGGAGATTAAATTTGACAATGTAGAGTATTTAGCAGTAAAACTTGCCTTAACTCACCCATCGAGCTTTTTCCCAAACTGACGAAAATTGCCGCTGAACTTTGGACCCCATGTAACATGAATATAGGGGGCTTTGTGGATCCCACCCTGGGTATTCGGTGAACGGTTAAGATGTAACCATCCGTCGTCTTCACCTTGTATTCGATGAAGGGATAGCCAGTTTTCTTGATGATTTGTGGCTGGAAATAAAAAAATTACTTTCATCCATCCAAAAATCATGATATCCGAGTACACTAGGATAGTTATTTTTCTGTAGGTGAAGACATACAATTTGTTGCTAAAATTTAGTAAATTCCTATTAAATGTATTGGAATTACTTCTTAGGTTGTAAAAAAATTACAATTAGTAATAGGATTGCACGGTAGCATAATAAGGTTTGATAACAACAGTAATTGAAATATGTGCTGTAACAATATATGTAATTATTGGATACATGTCAGTGGCAATTAAACAATTCCTGATTAGTATTTCATAATAGACTTTCATACATATTATCATGAAAGGTTTCAGTGAATGTCCTTCAGTTTGACACGGACAATTCCAAATAGTTGATGTAAACATAAAAACTATCTCAAACACAAGATTGTCTTTAAACAAACCGACAAATGGCTATTTGATGTATTACGATCTCGAAGTGCGCCGCTTGGGCAATATTTCGAAAGCGGCTAGAATTGAGCATAAAGATTTATTCTACAATTGCGGCAATTTCCGTATTTACTTTCTACGCCACTGGCTTGGAAGTAATGTAATCGCGAAAAATTTAGAAAATGAGATGTTTTGTTTTTTGGATGTCAGATGACATGTACGTTTCGAAAAACCATGTCACTCATTTCTGTCTGTCTGTCTGTCTTTTTGTCCGCTTGTCTCTGATCCGCTATAACATGGAAACTACCGGTTTGATTTTTTTTTAAATTTCTACAAAAGTTTATCAATATGAAAGGACAAAAAAGCTTTATAGTCTTAGTAAATCGGTTCAGTGACGGCGAAGTTAGCGGAGAAACTTTGCTTTTTAATGTCTAAGTGCTGAGTATTTTTTTAAAAAATCTTAAAGGTAAATAATTTGGTGGTGGGGATAGTAGAGCATGTGAATTCGTGTCAATTTTTAGACATATTTGTTCTCTTCCAACGGCGGTAATTCCAGTTACCATTTAGATTACCCTATACATTTATTTTTAAAACTTGAATAGTGATGGAGAAGTATTTCCGACCTTCGCGTGACGATCATATGCTCTACGGTCCTACCGAGGTAGCTTTGAAGTGCGAGGGGTAGCATACTTTCTTATATTGTACAGGGTGGTCAACTAAGAATGCGAGGTAGTGTATCTGGGAACCTATCAATCGTAGAGGCTTGCTGCAAAAACAGTTATTACTAAAACACCCAAGAGAAAAGTCGAGGATAATGTGAACTTTTTTGTTTGACAATTTTTGCTGTATCTCCAAGAATAAGGTTGGGGGGCGGGTATTCAAAGGTTTCCGTAAAAAACATGCTGTATCTTCGACACGACTGAGCCGATTTTTACAAATTTAGGCTAGTTGAAAAAATCTATTCTTGGGCTATAGGCGTTATAATATTTGAAGTCTTGTTAGTTTCACATGTGGCCGCTAGAGGGCTTTTTCGACGTTCCGATAGAAATGGTATGGTATGATTTTATTCATGAAAAAGCAGCTAAATGATGGCTAAACAAGCTCGTGAAAACCAGATCTCAATATCTTGTTCCTAACCTAAAATTTAAGCCAAAGAATGATTTATAAGGAAATCCATTAAATTTTTTAAACTCCCAGAATCTATGCATACATATATTGTCTGGTTATCATGGAAGCATCTGTCAGTACGCAACCAGTAGCGAGCGTTCATGCTACTTCGTGTGTCTAAAGTGGCAAAGCGGCCACTTGCATCAATCCTTGGAAACGGCAAGTAGCGAATGATATCACTATTTTCTGATTTTACTGACTCAAGGTAATTACAGTTCTGCACATCCGTTGTGTTTATGCCTGCTGTCAGATAGTTAAGAATAAAAGGCTCCAGTGGATATTCTCCATAGTCGCCAAACTGGATCATCTGGGAATCACATACACATATCGCGCATTGAACGTTTTTATCATACAGAAATTTCCATACCGAAAGAAAAGCTGAAAAACATATGGAGCAGATTGAATCTTGATATAAACCTCTCTTCCTTGTCTTAAAACATTTTCCACTGAAACTCAAAAGGCCGGATTTTGGGGATTCAGAACAAAAATGCGAATCAAATTGGACCAATAGGAAACTCACTATTCGGTACGTGAATCAAAGTTGTCCAATCACAGAGCATTTTTGAAGAAATGAATCCAATAAATATACTAAGAGACATATAAATCCGAACACCCAGTTTAAATGGTTTTATTTTAATAAAATTGTGTACAAGTACTTAATGAAGCATAATAAGTAAATGATAAAAACCCTGATGTGCTACGCATTCTCCAACGCGCCTAGGCATGCTTCTGATCAGGTGGTCAATGTCCTCCTGTGGTATCTCATTCCAGGCAACCACCAACTCCTCTCGAAGTGCTTCTAGAGTCAGAGGAGGACGTTGCAAATTGAGCAATCTCCTACCCATCATATCCCACACGTGCTCAACTGGGGATAAGTCGGGAGATCTTGGTGGCCATGGTAACAATGTGACATCATTATGTTGAAAGAAGTCTATTGTGACTCTTGCAACATGTGGTCGGACATTATCTTGTTGGAAAGTTGGATCTGCCAGGGTGTCAAGATAGGGTAAAAGATGGGGTTCTAGAACTTCGTGGATATAACGCTGCGCGTTCATGTTACCTCTGATGAAGATTAAAGGTGACCTGGAACCATAAGCTATAGCACCCCAAACCATAACTCCAACAGTGTGATGTACATGCCTTTCAACAAAAAACTGTGGATTCCTGGTTTCGCCACGTCGCCCTCTAACCCTGGCACGACCATCGTGCATGCCTAAACAAAATCGAGACTCGTCACTAAAGACAATACTGTTCCATTCCTGATCCCAGAGTGACCGTTGTCTGCACCACTCAAGGCGATTACGTCGGTGTTCTCGAGTTAAAGGGAGGACCCAGTGTGGCCGGTATGAAAACAAGCTAAAACTTCTCATTCGTCGGTAAACACTTCGCATGCCAATAGGTCTTCCGTGTTCTGCAAACCATTAATTTGCAATGGACCTGGTAGTGGAGAAACGGTCCCTTAAGGCCAATAATCTTAGGCGGCGATCTTCACGGTCTGTTGTTCTACGGCGGCGTCCAGTGCCCCTTGCTCTTTGCGTACGGCCTTCTCGAAGCCATGCCTGACAACACCTAACCACAGTGTCTACACTTCTTTGCACTCTAACTGCAATTGCCCGAAAAGAAAGTCCAGCTTCCCGAAGTCCCACTATACGGCACCTATCAAACTCACTAAGTTGACGAAATCGTACAGGTCTCCGTACTCTAGGCATCGTAACCGATCGTAAAGGATGTCAAGAACCAAAATCCGCCAACGTTGATTCTTTACTGCGGCTGAAATATTCATTTTTAGAGCGTTAGTGAATTAAAAAAAAGCAGTATAAAAACCGGAATGTCCAACTGATAAGGCTGAAAATATTTTCACTTGTTATTTACAGTAAGATAAATACATTCACCAACTTTTATTAAAATAAAACCATTTAAACTGGGTGTTCGAATTTATATGTCACTTAGTATACAATCTAATTCTTCCTTGTGCCTCTAATCCTCATGCTAAATCAAAAAACCCTTCGTAAGTCACAACTTGCTCCTAGAACATAATTTTTGGCTTGTGTGAGATACTTTCTAATATTCTAAAACTCTCTCTGATTGGTCGATTTTGACCCGCTGGCTAATAGTAAAATTGGACCTAGCATTTTTGGTTGCTTGATTTTCAACCTCGACGTCAAGTCAACTTCCGGCTTTCCGAAATCATTTGTAGATAGCAATTTGCCATTGAGAACCTATCCTGTATAACATTTGACAATGACCATTCCGCATTCCACTTCGAATAGCTAATTCGCCTTAATTGTTTATCTAGTAGCGTAGTAGAGTAGCGTAAACCATGTAATTTCGATGAAAGCCGCATACATTTTGCGTGAGCTATTTCAGGAAGCAATTATTACCAACAAGATTGTGTATATTAAAAATTGGGAAGCTGAGTACCGTTGAGATATATCATTGACTAACCTCTTCCCGTTCTAAAAATGTTTTGTGGAATTTTTACTACTACATTTGGCATGCCACAAAACTGTCCACAAGAAAGTCAAACGACAAATTTGTTCTAATTTGTACCAAATGGTACTATTGTTTATTTGTTGTGCTTTTTACTAAACTTAAATTGCAGAAGGCTATTGTTTTGGAAGAGGGAAACCTTGTTAACTGTATTATGTACTTTTTTTAGCAGGTACAAGAAAGAATAATTGTTACTCATTATTAAAATGTTCGTGAAAAGAATCAAATTTAATCTAGTTGTTTAATTGTACGACATAATTATATTGAGAATTGTCGTATAAAACCCATTTTTAATCAAGGACGATAATAGTACCTCTAAAAGATAAAAGTTAATATAGCATTAGACAATTCTAATGATTAAACCAGGATCTAAATAGATGCTATAACAAATAACACCAAATAATTCATCTTGTGTGGATACTAGTAGTACAAGGAAAAGCTAAAGCATATGACAAAATACAGGTTGCATGATTGAGAAAAGAAATATAGCAGATCAAGACAGACTTCGATTTTGAGTGCGTGGTGACCTCAAATTTCTTAAAGTTGTATAGAAAAAGCTGTAGAAAGCCACAAGATTTTTCAAAAGAAGATGTCACTGGATTAAGACGTATCTGTATCTGTGACCTTGATAGGGACCTTTATCCCAAGACGATCACAGATCGCAGACGATACAAAATAACTCTGGTCCTTACTAGAGTATCTATCTTACGACAATTTATAACCAGCAATGTAAGAGAAAAGAGGTTCAAGAGGTTGAATTCTGTCAAAGTATTTTCTACATGACTGACAGTAACAATGTTGTGGAACATCGGAACGTTGGTAAAAAAAAACAATTTCCATGAGACTTATACAATTTTTTGGGGTCGCTGATTCCAAATTTGAAGTTAGTTTGCCTCCAAGACATTTGGAGGTCATTTCAAGGTCACACAAGGACATTTTCAAAGCAATTGTCCAAACGCATATTGTTTAAGTTTCTCTGGTTAGTAAGTTCGAATCAGAGGTCATGAGTCACGCTGAGGGCATTAGAAGGTCGTATCAATGTCACTTCAAGGACATATTCAGAATAAGTCTAGCAACTGAGTTCATATGCATGTCATATAGATTTCGGCGGTCGTTGAGTCCAATTAAGAATTCACTTTGTCCCTAAGAAGGCATGTTAAGTGTTAAATTCAAAAAAGTTAAAAATATCCACAGATGATACACAAACTGTCTAATTTTCCCATTAAAAAGTAGTGAATGTTACACCACAAACTTTATGTTTAACAGTCTGACATTGTAAGCACAGTTCTGATTTTATCGCCATTTACTGCTTGAGTTATGTTATAACTTTCATTTATTTCCGACACATATTGCAAATTTTTCCAAATTTTCGCATAGGTAGAACACTGTGCGCCAGCCTAATTCGTGATCTGTGCTGCTCTCTGCTGTAAGCTTACGACAGAGCGGATACATTCGGACAAGCTGTAGCTGTGCGGTTTAAGCACGGCTAGCCAAACGTGACCATATGCACTCTGGCAGTGCGTAGCTGAGCGAGGTTGAATGAACTTGGTGGCGCAGACCGTCTTTTACGTGCAGGTATCGATGAATATGAAGCAAAAACAACGTGAAAAAATAGCTGAGTCACTCACCACTTTTTCTTCAGCAGCAAAGTCGTACCAACACCTCGGATTGTTCCTTATGTTGAAGTAGTCCCTATAGGTAGGACACACATTATTCCTATTCTCCTGTTGCGGGAACTGCTGTTGCGCCTGGACGTTTCCGATGACACTGAAGATGATCCACGCTGCACTCAAAGTGATGCACCTCCCCGAATGCATCCTGTGCCTATGCAACGCTCGCTGCAACGACACTCGTTGATTATTTAATGCACATGCATGGACGAGATATCCGCCGACTCTGTCTAATTTCACTTTCTTCGATGCGTATTCTAGTGCCGGCGACAGAACCCGGTCAGGATTCTTTTATTTTGTTCAGGTAGCGTTTAGTGAACTGGGAAATGCAGTGCGAACCTGCGTAATGACTTGTAAAGTGGATCCTGTATAAAGTATTTGGCGAAATAAGTAGTTTATGTTAGTAATGGAACTAGTAGGGTAGGGAAGTACTCGTACAAAGATACCACGGAGCTATGCTGTAGTCGAGAGGTGCATCAGTAGGGAGCTTCTAAGTATCCGCCCAACTAACAATCATCACTCATATTATAGTTGCAAGAATGATTATACAGTATTCCTTAAACAGCATTGTATACTGTAAGAACATTGGCAAAACCGTCTTAGAACAGCTATACAAGCGGAATGGGCACACCTAATAGAGAACACTTCAGAGGTTAAAAAAGGGCTGCAGGTAACAGTTATAAAACAAAAGTGTAAGCCCCTTCCAGCCGCTATAGGACATTTGCGTCAGTGCAAGATTCAGTTTTTGTCAACTATACAACTATTTTGTTACGTGATTCTACTTTATTGCAATCAAACTATTTCTTATGTATTGTATAGACGAAGTGAAGAATATATAACTAACACATTACAGTCATTTTGTTTACTTACATATCGGCCATTGTGAATTTCATACACAGGTATATGATAGACTTCTATACTGTGATATAAGGCTATTGGATTACTTGCGCAGCAAATTTTATTGTGATTATCGTGCAAATTAGTTACCCAATTCCTACGGGCTTCGTATTTGATTCATATTTTGACAATGATCAAAAGTATGTCTAGATGTTTAAGATGGAAAACTGAACTTATCTGCGTTAAATCTTCCACAAATCCTATATTTAGACACAATTACACTAATGTTTATCACTTTGTATCTGTAATTTCGAACTGAAACATAATTATTTAATATTAAATAGAGGAATAAATGTTTGCCTAATATGGAGAGTGGTTGTGTACAATCATGGCATCGTCCATGTTGTCCTTAGGTTATTAGAATATTTTGGTCTTGCCTGCAGGTGTTATACAACAATTTGACAAATGTCTGAAATGAAATACCGACAGAGTCGAATGATTTACCCAGAATTTGTACCAGTTCTATATTTTCTGTTTGAACAGTTGATAAAACCTTTTGAACCAATATGATGCGTTGTTTGTCTCAAAACATTGATTATGGCATTTTATCATTTTACAACAATATGACAGCAGAAAGTTAGGTTATGGTGAAGTTGTTTAACAACATATTTAGCATATGTACAGCCTTTAACACAACCATTTTGATTAACGTGCAGATATGCCGTATACAATAGTTGTATAAACGTTTATGCAACAGTTCAAAATTTGCCCTATAAGAATATTTTAAAAACTTCATTTTAGAGCAAATATGTTGCAGAAAGCAAATCTGCATTCCACACAACATTAAGTCAGCATTTTTATATTCAGGCAGCTTTTATGGCTGTACGGTTCTTTTACCAAAAGCTTATACCACTACTTTGCTAGTTGGGCGTTACCACCCTTACGTCACACATTTGTGGAATCATCTCATTATCGTGACATGCAAGCTCCTATCCTATCGGCTTCCAGAGGGACTGTGCAAGGTGGTTGTAAGATTGGGTCGCGGCTGACAAAATTTGTCCTTCTTCTTTTAGTCTTCTCCTGAGATCGGTTGTGGTTCCAACAATGTTACTTATTGACATGCAACTAATCACATTGCAAGTGGCAAATATGTACTTTTGGAGAAGCTATTTCAATTTTTAGGCAACTTTAGCAGAATTTTTTAACGTTGATGTAGTATATACAATGTTAGGGGTACCTAGTAATTAATAGTTTGTAGTGCTCTTGTTATGCTCTTCCATTATGATCTTCGTTTTTCGCAGTAACGTTACAATCCCTCATCATCCATGACCGACATAAGGCTCCGTTAAGTTTCAGAGAACAGGGGACGGTATACTTTGTAAGGTTACTTTTTTGATGTTTCCGGAATTTGCAAACTTGATAAGCTTAATTAAAATAATTCCAAGATACAAAGGCATATTTGTTAAAATATAATAGGGATATGAGTTTTAGATTACAGATCAAAATACATCCAAGAAGTAGGTAGTATTCTGAATAAATTGAATTTTCCTGACTTTCTTCATACAGGGCGTTAGGGGAATAATATTTGTAACCTTAAGAGGTGATTCCTTGCATTATTCTAAGCATTATAACTTATGTACGGAAATCAATCATTTTCGAGAAAAGTGAGTCGTAAGTAATTATATTTTCTCCAACATTTGGCAACGCTGCAACGCAACCACGATACGAACGCACGACGACCGCAACTGATTCATCGAATTATATATTTTTGTTTAAAATATGCCTTGAACTATTGAATACTTGTACGCAACTTTTTTTGGCTAATATTTTTCGTTTAATAACGCTTTCAGTACAGTACATTTACTTAAAAAAATGACAGAACTTACGTGGCGATACACATCACCAATTCCCACGACTATCAGTCACTTATTTGAAACGATGCGATGCACGAAAAAAGAAACACATCACCAATTCCCACGACTATCAGTCACTTATTTGAAACGATGCGATGCACGAAAAAAGAAAAAAACAACATCCCTGAATCACATAAAGTTACAGTTAAATGTATTAGCAATCACAACAACACGCGATGATGCATGCCCTGCAGGCGGAGTACGACGTTGCCAGTTGTGTGAGGGATTTTGTTTGTTTTTCTTCGGAAAATTGTATTTATTAAGCAAGAAAATTATTTTGTTTGAGACAGTTAATTAATAAATAGATGTATTGAGACATTTTGCGCTATTAGGCAAATGAACTTAAATCATTAAGGTGCAAAATTAATTTATTTCACGACTAAAAAGAAATAAGTTCAGCATTTTTTTGTTCCGAAACGGTTGATTTTCGGACACAGGTTATAAACTTTTTGCTTAGAATAATGCAAGGAATCACCTTTTAAAGTTACTAATATTATTTCCCTAACACCCTATATATGCAAAGTACCAGGGATCATAAGAACTCGATTTTCGACGGCATCCGTTATTTGCTGTCGCTATCAAAAATAACGTAACGTAAGGCTTAGAGATTCATTATTTCTGTTGCGTAAAAAACTAACCAATTTGAAGCGACACATGAAAAACAGCAAAAATGTTACAATTTTATTAGATGCATGTCGTATGCTCATAATATGGGATAAAAGCTCTAAAGTGGTTCTTACACTATTTTGTCCTATGGTAATTTTAGAAAGACCATTCAGAATTGGGCAAAGTGACATCTCATGTATTTTAATCCACAAATAATATTTAGAATAATTATATTCAGGTAGAATGCAAGATCCTCTTTTGTCTATAGACCAACGAACTCTTTAAATATAGTAGCCATTTTTGCCCTGTTATCAAGGTACAATTTACAATTATCCGAATTTTCGATTGGACAAACTAATAAATTTCGGTCGATATAGCAAATAACCTAACGGACCTAAATCCGGACGTGAAGTGGGTCATAGGTTCTCCTCAACCTATTTAATAGTCTTGTCAAAGAACCATACCCAAGATACCAAATAACAAATTGGTGTATTTAAAGGAGTTGCGGGACATCCTGAAATTGTAGCCTTACATTCTATCTGGAGGTCAGCTTCATTATTAGAGAAGTGCATATTGGATACCGAGCAGTTTAAGTTAACAAAATGGCAAAAGTACCAGGCATTTATAGTGTCCTTGACGAGGAGAGGGAGAGGGGTGGTAGCGGGGCCGCAGTAAGATGCTGTGTACAGTATTTTACCTTCTGTAACTTGTGATAAGACTTGCTTTTACAGAGCATTCTCAGATCACGGAGGACAGGATTTTTTCTGGACAGAGAGAATGGTAGTCAGGCAAAATTACAACCTTTGAACCCTCTTTAGCCTTCTCAAAGATTCCTCAAAGTTGAACCAGTTGCACTAGTTATTATTTCAAACTGAAAGCTAAGTTCCCAGGAATGATTTTCGTTGAGCAGTTTCAAAGCATCGTCTTCCTGTTCTATGTAGCCCATAACTAGTTTATTACAAACCACAAAAGAAAAGTTGGAAATAGAAAGCTCATTCTCATCAAGACAGTGCTGATTTTTTCGACACGTAAATAAAAGGCAATAATAATAGTAATGTCGTTAGTCTACCATATAGTTCGTAACTACTTCCAATCGTTACAGGACAGGTATTGTACATTAATATTAATTAACAATAGAACGGTAGTGATTTTTATCATTAAGGATTATTAGAAGGAACCTTTCACTATAAGACACCTCGAAAAATATAATGAATAAGGGACGTATATCAGTTATCTAACCAACCAATTTATTTTCAAATCTCGCGATAAAATATCAACGACGTTGTTAATGCTGGCTATGAATCTTGGTGTACCTATTACTTCATATATTCAGAGCTCAGAGTGGGATATAATAATTTACTGTTGTACCAATGGTCTGGATATTAGTACTGCTCCAATTATTTGTAGTGTACAGGTATTATGGTACGGGTTATTTAGAAATACATATATGAGTAGTAGAATTTTAGATAGCAGTATCACTAAATATCACCATACCACGAGAAATGGAGCTACAACGCACACAGCCCAACAATTTCATTGTTTTGAGCATCTATGTCTTCTTTCACTGGTCATATATCTGAACGAAAAAACGCTGCTGTTGAAGAAGCGCTTGTGTGTAAACAAGTTGTTCACAGCTTCAGAAGTCTCCAAAAGTGATTTGCTTCTAATGCCTGAATGTAAAATGGTACAAATAAGAAACATGTTTTTCTATAGACCGACATGCTTTCCCTACAACTCCTGGAAACTGCTTAGTTGGAGAAGCCCTCAGTTAAGATGAATACTAGTATCTAACGCTCTGGTATGGGATAAGTTGACGGTGGAAGCTTAAAATCTTTGTACTATATTGAGCAGTTGTAACTATCGGCGATCTGTAAACATAGAATTACGTAAACGCCAAGCTTATTTTCGTAATAAAACTCAGCACGCTATCCTGTTGTGTCCATTTCTAACGTGTATGTGGAGATGAGGAGGATATCATAACTTATATTATGATAGTAAAGCAAATCATGGCGACTGGTATTTAATATTTCATTTACGTGCTCCAACAGATCGTTGCTCGTATTCAAAATGATTAGATAAATAAATAGACTAACAGATTATAAGAAACAGACAAACAGCAACGTAAACGATTTGTCATTGTCCGACGTCCCAAATATAAGCATCGTAAAGACAAATCTGTTGAGCTTTTCTGACCGAGAGAGGTTATAAATGCTATACTGTCTCTCGAAATGCCAGATCATATATACGGGGTAGTGTCAAAACTAAACCGTTGATAATGCAAAGAGCTTTTCTCTTGGTCAGTGCAGAAGACGGTTGACAAGATCTACAGTAGAGTAATTACTATATCCATTTATACACGTTCTTAGAGGAACGATATCTCTCCCTTTTATTTCAAACAAGGAATATGAGTAGCAATTTCTTGGAAAACGTTCCACGGACACTTGCATTTTCCAGTAGGCTCAATGATTGCCATAGTATTCTGAATTTGTAATATATTTAAAATTCTCGAATCTCGCACATTTCAAACTCTGAAAACTGTAAAAATTTTCATTCTGATAATTTAATATTTAAATAAATAACATTTTCAAAATTTTTAATATCTTCGGAGTTTTCAAAATTATTTAAAATGTTCAGGACTCTCTAAATTTTCAAAATGTTCTTAATACTCAAAATCTTCAAAAATAGAAATTTTTTAAAAATCTCAGAAAATTTCGATTTTTCTATATTCCCACAGTTTAAAAATTCTCAAAATTTTCAAATTTTAGAAGAAAAAAACAAATTTACAAACTTTTAAAATGATGATTTCACAAATTCACAAAATTCCAAAAATTTAAAGTTTCCAAAATTTCCAAAATTTCCAAAATTTCCAAAATTTCCAAAATTTCCAAAATTTCCAAAATTTCCAAAATTTCCAAAATTTCCAAAATTTCCAAAATTTCCAAAATTTCCAAAATTTGAAAAATTTCCAAAATTTCCAAAATTTCCAAAATTACCAAAATTTCCAAAATTTCCAAAATTTCCAAAATTTCCAAAATTTCCAAAATTTCCAAAATTTCCAGTTTCCAAAATTTCCAAAATTTCAATAATTTTCATAGTTTCCAAAATTACCATGATTTCTTAGATTTACAAAATCTCCAAAATTTAAAAAATTTTCAGAATTCCCAAAATTTACAAAATTTCCAAAATTTCCAAAATTTTCAAGATTTCTAAAATTTCCAATATCTCCGATATTCCAAAAATTTGTCAGATTTTTAAGACTTTGATTCTGATGATTTCCAGAATTTTAAAAATGTCCAATTTTTTGACAATTGTCGAATTTTAAAAAGTTGTTGAAAATGAAACATTTTCAGAACCGTCTGACATATCAAAATTATCAGCATATTGAGAAAAATTCAATTTTAGAAAAATTCTGGGATTTTTAAGATCTTTGAAACCCTTGAAAATCATAAAAAATTCGAAAATCCTGAAAATTTTTAAAATAATGGAAATCTGGGAGTATTGAAAATTTTGAGAGTTTTGAAAATCCCGAAATTTGATATTTTAAAATTTTGCAAGTTCCACTGACTTTCTATATTGTTAACTTTAGTACCTTGTATCTAAAAAGATAATACCTTTAGGACATTTCCCATTTCTTCTTTAAATGTACCCATTAAATATTGAGATTCGATTCGAAAGCCTTAATGTATGACTGTCTGGTCTTAAGATCTCATAACCTGTGTGTATACCTCTGCGGAGGGAGTGTCGATTCTAAATAGCGTCAAGTATGTATATATATATATATGTACCTCATGTGCAATGGCAAATAGGTTATTGGAATGTTTGATGAAAATTCAGATGCAAACGATTTTTCATAATTTGATGTAGTAGCCGGTTTAATTTTTTGAATATAGCTTCTTCACCCTGTATGGAGGTCGATTAAAGTGACCAGCTTTCTCGTACGTGCTTTATTACGTTCGGTCACGTATTTTTTTTATGTTTACGGTTACATAACATGATCTTTTTTATTAAAAATCAGCCTGATTAGTTTTTGACAATCTACTTTTTGTACAACAGGAACGCAGGGAAATTGTCTCCGTATCACAAAAAAGAGCTTACTACAAAATGTTTGATTAAGAATACTTATGTGTAAAAAAATGTGTACGCATGAATGAGATACTATCAAGGTTATCAAAAATTGATATAATGAAGGTTCTCGTGACTCATAATCAACTGAGCAGTGAAAGATCATAACATCATCTGAACATTCATTATTAAGAACGTCCTAAAAATTCGAGTACCGTAAGAGTTTAGGTATCAGTTTCCATATTTTTGTGCCGCCAGATGAGATCAGATATTGGATTGAACGCCTACTAACGTTTCTGCCACCCAGGTGGCCTATTTATAGGTACAAATAAAAAAATAAGATATTATACGTATATAGGTGATAATTCATTTGATTTTGCCGCTGCCACAGAAAAACTTTCAGATGTTACATTAACCATACATACAGCAAATTTTATTGTGATCATCACTGTGACATTCGTTAGCCCTATATCATAGTCTAAAAGCTTGTCACATACCTGTGCAATATGCTAGTAAACAAGATGAATGTTACGGCCTAAGGAATATTATATGCCCTTTTCTGTCAGTCGTTTCACATCTGTTATACAAGGCAAGGCAAGGTTGAACCTAGGCTTAATACATACTGTCATTTTGAATATCACTCCATTGGCCGCAATAATGCTGTCACATCACATAGTTGTAGTAAATTTAGGTAACTTCAATCACTGCTATTTAGCTGGGATGGTATGTCGTCTTCACTATAGGTACTCACAATAATTTACTTATATGAAACTAAGAAGCAGTAGCTAAGAACACGAACACTTATTTGCAGGTTTGAAGGAGACTATGAATAAGACAATTTCCATGCCGAAGCTGTTGTATAATTTATCAGGCCTTGATCTACGATTTATCATGAAACGGAAACACAATGTGCATACTTTATTTGTTCTTTGGATAATTGCTTATATGCAAACCAACGATAAATATTAAACGGGGAAAATAATAGCAGTGAAACCCTCATGTATGAGAATTTTTTTTTGCTTTGTAGATGCTGACTTTTTTATAATCAGGCATCTACAAAGGCAGTTCCTAAACATCGTAAATAGCCCACAGCCTTGATGTAGTTCATTTCTGGAAGATGTCTACGACAACCAACAGCTAATGAGGAGAAAGACGACCTTTTGCATACTAGCTGGAGGCTGTCACGATGAACAATTCTTCTACAGACTAAACAACTTTACAAGCGATTAGGACTAAGATTTGTGTACCAAGCTTTTTTTTCTGAATCGGGTCAAAAATACAGTTTGTATGTTTGTAGCATTATCGAACAACACTGTCGCGGAACACTGGTAATTTTCGTATCAAGTGTTAGAAAAAAGTTTGAAGCGGTGATATAGCTGCTATGACAAGAAGTTGAACATTATAATTTAGAGCATGTGTACTTTGCAACTATTTTTGGTTCACTATTTTCATTTGTTCGCCTCATTTTACTGAGTCTTGTAACAGATACTTTTGTTTGAATTCCAAGGTATTCATTGGCTATTAGTCCAGTCAATAAACTTCAACAAGAACGTGACATATATCTATACAGTTCTGGCTGGATGATTTCGTTACTCAAAATAGTACCTCTAGTTTGACCAGTCTGCCACAGTTTGGTATAAATAACAGACGGTGACTGAAATAAAACAACTAACAGCAAATGTTGCCCTTTATTTTTCGCAACACCCTCTGTTTAAGGGATATATAATGAATACGAGACTCTCGACATATGTTGTGGGCGAGTCCTAATTTTCCTTTCCACCAATGACAATCAGATACCAACATATCGCATATAGTTGACTGATGGTCAGTCATTCATCTTTGGAAGATTCTAATAATTACTAACACTTATTGGTACATATTTGAGCTATCTTATCCAAAGTAGGCTTGTACAGCAGAGGATCTGCAACTTTAGCTTCTTGGAAGTCAGTATGTGAGAATTTGTCGTAGTTTATTCTGTACAGACCGCATCTAACTTTAGGGTTGAGCTCACTGTATATTTGTTGCACATCCTGAAAAAAAAACAGCGTCAAGTGAGTTGACTTTCCACGCAATGTAAAAATCCATATAGCCTAGTATAAGGTTGTAGAGTAGAACGAATATCAGTCAAGAAAGTATTGTTGATTGGGCAAAAATTGAAATTATAGATTTAAGTATGCATATCATCTAAATAAACTTTCTTTTGCCCTTGTTTTTTTACTATTGCCCAGCAACCATTACAACCGATCATGCAATATAATGCACGTTTATTTTTTTGATGATCGAGTAACATCTTTGTACGCCCTGGTGAAACTTGTTTTGTTTGAAGGAAGAATGCTAAGAATAGATGAGATTCCTCTTTCAACGCAGTAACTTGATATTCGCTCATGACTGGTAAAGGTCTATTCGTTATTTCACCTCTAATCAACTACAGTCATAATATTGTCACCCTATTTGACCATCAATAGATATGCAGTAAATTATATTGCCCTGGTCGTCGCAATTGTTACATTGCATGTCCGGGGCGTCGCTGGCACCTTTCTCATCCGTTCAAGTAACAAATTTATCAAGTGGACGTCCACCCGGTAGCGGCTAGTGCACTTCGTACATATTTTACAAAACATTTGTTGAAAGATTAAGAAGATACTATTACAAATGCAATTCATTGTAGACACAGTCTCTTCAAAACAGTTGAGGGGTTTGGTGCGAAAACCGGTCAGCTACACTTTTTTCCCGGAATCGTGCGCTTCTCGCACAGTCAACCAGCTCAATTCAAGTGGGTAGTCTGACTTTGAAGCGGTATAATAGACACTAATTTCCACTTAACTTAATCGATATGAAATGCACTGAAATGAGCCGAGGTATCAGTAGCTCAACCCTTTTACCAGCTCCCCATTTTCCTGGATGCAAAAATTTAGTTACGCTAAGCGGTTATTTATTTATTTATTTTATTTATTTATTGAAATCCACCACCAACAGTGTTAACCAATTACTGGTAGCCAAACAACAATAGAAATAGTAAAAAAAACATATAAAAATACAACGAAAACTAAAAACTAAATCATTTCACTGCAAACTCTCTTAATGTTCGAAATACTTGTGTTGAACAAATCAAATGTACTCTGTAGACTATTATAACATGAACACATCGAGTACAAAGGTGAGTGCAACAGTAAGTTAGTTCGTGGGGTAGGTAGGTAAAAAGTGAGTGTATTGCGAGTAACAAATTTTGGAGCATTAAATTTAATCTGTGCTAGAAATGATGGACAATCATAACTGCTATGCACTACTTTATGCAGGAATATTAGCGAGTGAATCTTTCTTCTGTTATCAAGACTGATAAACTTGTGCTTCCGTAACAGGTCTTCCTGTGGGACCCCAATGGGTGGGTACGTACCGTCAATTTTGAATGAAAGAAATTTCAGAAATTTCCGCTGAATCTTCTCCAGAGAGCCACAAGTTGTAACATAGCATGGATTCCATATTAGCCGTCCATATTCTAATTTAGACAGTATGAATGAATTATAAAGCATAATCATGGCATCTTTGTTACTTAATTCCTTTGAGTTACGTATTACAAATCCTAATAATCTGTTAACAGCATTAATAAGGTACTCAATATGAGGATTGAAGCTAAGTGACATGTCGAAAATCACACCCAGGTCCTTGCATTCTTGTACTCTCAGCAGAGAATGATTCCCAATTCTGTAGTCAAATGTAATAATATCTAGCTTTCTGGTGTAAGACATAACACTACATTTACTGTAGTCAATTGGAAGTCGATTTACAGCACACCATTTAACTTATGTCAGATTGAGAATATCATATTTTAAATGTTACAGCTTACCACTGAATCTGTCAACCAGTCATTTGGCCCATAATATATAGCCACAGGGACATTAATTGCCGATATGTTGTACTGCATAGGAGTTGTCTGTCCATACGTGATATTATTTTTTTTACTGCCTAAGTCCATTGCCTGGAACTTTCCAGTTTGGACCAGTTGAGCGTAATGTACTAACGTCTTATAAGAGCTTCTTTCTGCATGACTAAGAAGACCTAGAGGAAGGAGTTCCTGGAATATTGGTAATAAATTACATTTAGATGTTAAAGATGGTTAGGATGTGGTGAGAGTCCAATTATCACTAAACGAGTCGATCACTATACGTTAATCAGGTGACGACAGAAAGCATGAATAAGAAGTAAGACCCAATAAAGCGTTAATAACTCTTAGACAACCAACCATACTTTGGTTGAAAGTGAAAGTTCAAGTATAATAATTCAAAGCAGTAAGAAACGGTGTAAGTATGTGTCTACACTTAGCAATACATCTCAAACTTATCCTGTGATCTTCGTGCTGACAAGTTTCCACGTTTTCAGGCAGTAAAATGAAACGACTTAAGCAGGATAACTTCTTACTAACATTTTGGCCTTTTTCAGACAAATAATAAATGGCAGGAGCAATACATTTTACAATTATTTATATAAATATATATATGTATATATATATATTTCAGGTGTTTCTGCCACTACAATACGGAGATGACTTGTCTAGTACATCCAAAACAATTTACCACGGCTTGCTTGTGGGCTTGAGCGGCTGGATGTCTTTGGAAGCGACAGTGTCTCAGATGACTCTCGACTTTGCTGGCTTCATGCCGCGCCATTTGAATTGTAATGATGGCTTCATGCGATCTTGGCGTAGATAACCCAAAGAATCGATATACGGCTTAAAAATATACTGTTGTACTATGACGTTGCAAAAAGTTACCACGCGTCTTTGCGGCTTGGATACCCACACCAATGAGACCTGGTCATTTGACTTTTCATGCTCAAGAAATTCTCACAGCTCGTAGTCTTGAAGTACACTATTTTTCGCGATACTTCAACATAGCAAAACGTGACAACAACAGCTGATCAGTTATTTTCTAGCGACCTTCATCAGTCAGTTGATGACAGACAACCCTGATGAATCTTTAGAAACAGTTGTATCAAGAACGGAGAATATCCTTTGAACGTATCTTGTGGATTCTTAGTTTCTAACAACGGATTTATGTAGTTTATTGCATCCATCTACGTGTACTTCGTAGATTTTCTACACAACTGAAAGTCAGTGAAACTTTCCACGAATCGTGTCGGGTCACAGTCAAACTACTAGAATTACTTCCACACATTCATCTCCCTCACACATGCACAACATACTATCGGCCTTTATCGGCGGACGTTTGTTTGTGGGCACTCAAAGACATATGCTTTTTAGCTTATGTATCACTATCAGTATGAAAACTTGCTTGTCATGGGCGTGTGATCTGTGTTTACCCATGTTGATTTTCTATATAAAACTTAGTATCTGAAAATACAACTACATTGTCGACAGGAGTATTTTCAGAAATCTCCCTCACCCAATTCGAGTGTGTGTGTAAGAGCGAGTAGCAGCCGCATGAATAATCGACAGTGTGCAACTTACGGAAGATAAGCTACGCTCACGGTATGATTAGTAAATCTGTTTACTTTTTCCGTATGTCATTGTGACGTAACCTTCAAAAATCGTGAAGAACTATACGTGAAAACAATTTTTTATCGGTGTTTGGTATAAATAGTTTTGAATACAGTCGTGAGTTTTATCAAATTCATCATTACCAGCTATACAGACCTAACAAAGAGGTCACATACTGATCAGCTGTTAATCACAACAGATGAGGTGTCGTGAAAAAAATGATTATGACCTGAAGTTTGATGCATCATTATAGTTAAAGCAACTCACTAATTTTTAAGTAAAACATGGCTACTGTTAGTGTAGAATCACCATAAGTAAAAACTGTTGGAAGGCTGGTTGTCTAATATTATTATTCGTATTACCCGCAATATTAATTTCGCTTCATATAGTTCGTGATGCTGTTATTAAACTTTGATATAAAACAGCTTGGGACTTATTTAAGAAATAATCCTCCAAGTAGCGAACATGCAGTGATACTTTTACTATCACAGACTATTTAGCATAATATAGCTGTTTTATTAGCTATAAAAATTCTAGTACTCACCGGATTTATCTGCTGAATATTGTCTCCACCAATGAACATCCTGAAGAAATTGCAAATGAAGAGTTGGAATGTATACTGTGTGCAGAATTTTTGTACCATGTCGTAACTTACTTTAACCTCCCCATGAAACGTCTCCTTCCAGAGGGACTATAAAAAAACATCAATTCTTTGAGACACCTCGTTGAATAATTTTTGGACATTAATATAAAAATAAAAAATGTTAACTTTCTTAATGTATAAAAGATCTACCAAAATATTCATTTGTGTCTTCAATGTCCAAAAATGACCAATCAGGATATTAACAGGGACTAGACCAAATTATAATCAGGTTTTGAAGCCTTGATCCTTCTTTATCCTTTCCTCCTACGGTTAGGCTACGGAATAATAAGAAGAAAAAATTTTATCCTTTTTTTTCATGCTCGTAAGAGTGTGATTCCCTAAGTGAGTCGTCGCCAGCCTTTTCAGTGTGTGTGAGCTACTTTGATAATTTTGGAGTAAAGTGAGCTACCCAGCAAGCCAACTTAAATGAAATTATACACAGTCTTTTACTAATACATACTAATAAACTTGTAAAACTAATAACTAATGCATACTACTCGTACATAACTACATCCATACGAATCGTAAGTGTTTGAAAAATAAACAAAAATTTTTTTCAGCTACAATGGCTTGTCACATACGATTTAATAAATGTAACTAAAAATAAAAAAGGCAACGCATTATTTTAAACAAAAGCATGTCCAGATAAAAAATGCGTACTCAATGAGTAGCCTGACACTCAGACTCACTGACAATTTTTTTACAATTATCCAAATGTTCATCTGTAAGTCGATTACGGTATTTATTTTTAATAAACTTTACATCTGAAAAAGGAGATTCACACAAATAGGTTGAACTAAATAACGCTTTCACTTTCAAGGCAACCCGACATAAAACTGACTATTTATCTTTACTTCCATTTCTGTCGCAGCGATGTCTTCGCTAAAATTCTGCGCAACAGAAGTTGCAAATTGTTGGATAACAATTTCCATGAAGGGTGAAACAACAAATTGCTCCACTATAGCAGTTTCGTTGAAACCCTTGAAACAATTTTTGAAGTTATCCTTTAATTAGAGATTATTTCTACATTATATTCACTGTCATATGGTTTTAATGAACTTTGAGATATCTTTTCTGAAAGAACAGAAAAATGCCTGGTATCGTCATCGATTAAGTTTTGTTCCCAAAGCTCAAGCATTTCGATAAACGCTTTTATATCAGAAATCATTTCTGCTAGTTTTTCTCCGTAAAATCACTAAAAACCATCCTGGCGAACACGGCCATTAAGCACATTTATCGAAGTCATTTCTTAACTGTAAAACTATATCATTGCTCATTACTACTACTCGTCTCACCACTGTATTAGCAGAAAGTTGCACAGATTTTACAGCAGACACTATCTCGTCTTTATTTCTAAAGTTGCCTAATAATGAATCTGCAGCTTCCAAAAATGCCTGTTTTATCATTGCCCCATCTTCTTTTGTGTAATTATCTGGGACACTCGATTTGATGCTTCAGATGCAGCCTTACATTTGTCGATTGTTTCTAAACATTGTCCAATTAGCTGATTTTTTAATTGTCTCATTCTTTGCGCTCTGATTGCAGAACGCAGTGGGAATGATTTTTCAAAATTACAGCTTTACAGTGCCTTGTGCCTCTCGGTATTCTCTGTTTTAGCAGCGGAAACAGATGTATTACATAACAAACATTCATCTTTACCTTTCACTTCTGTAAAAAAATAATGTTTTTCCCATTCCGAATGAAAATGGTATGTCTTCATTTTCTTACTACTGCTCATAATGTTTTTAATTGCAGGCCAACTCTAACCAAACCGCCGGACTTTGTGCCGTTCAGTTTTAAACTGAGCTCACTGTCGCCGCGCCATGCATATTTATTATGTTCAAAGTAATCGAGATCGTTCTCGAACAGATCGCTCACCGCAGTGTTGCCGCTGCTTGTGTTTATTATGAGAATTTACAAAATTTACGGAGCTACCGGTTGGCGACTAGTCCCCTAAGAGCTAACGCATACCGAGGGACGGTATGGACGAGCATCGAGAAGAATTTCCCTGTCCGTACTGCAAGCTGAAGAGAAAAATTCCCTGCAACACCTCGATCATTCTTCGACATCCCATCCTATCTAGATACCGACGCCCACCGGTATGCTCATGATACCGGTCCCTCTCGCCAAGGCATCCCAGAGCATGCCATTCAATATAATCAGGAACCTTTTGTTTGTACAGAAGCAGCTATGCAGGCAGAAGCCTAAATACCAGGGCACCGGAGCTACCATGACGTGCTTAAAGAAGCTTTGCTTATCCGATGTTTAAACTGTTTAAGGTTAGAAGAACCGGGAAAAGCCCCCTTAGGTACGTTGTTCCACAATCTCGATACCGCAGCGACAAAGGAGGGGTCGTATCGGCCGGTTCTGGGATGTACGAATTTTGACATGGTTAGGATTGTAAGCCGAAGTCAGGCAGGTCTGTCTGGCAGGCATATCGCGCAGCCGCATCAGAGGAGAGAGCTCTGAGGAGCAAAGACCGTTGGTGTAGCAGTATAAAAGTGTAAGTATTTCTGAAGGCAATAAGATCATCATGACGATCATCGTTGACCATTTTCTCTATAACTAAAGCGCATTGAACAAAATGTTTTTAATGTATGTTGTGGGAAGAGGAGCATTTTTTGTCGCGGGATATCACTGCGGTATCAAAGAGAGAGACCTACCTCAAAATAAGGAACAAATTGCAACGCAAACCAAACCAGTGACTTCATATTGCTGACGTAAATCAAGGGTGCCCACGCTACGATACCCTTAAGGTACTTTTGAGCTTCTTGTGGTTTTGTTATGGCATATATGAAAGCAGCCGCGTTGGACATACCATAACCAAGAAATACAGGTGTGCCGCTGGTTTTTGTGAGCCGTTTGACTGTTTTGAGAACGGCTGGCATGTCGTACATACCCATTTCATCGAATCTGAAAAAATTAACAAAAATCACATTAAGTAGATTGATCCTTTATTTTCCATACTTATTGAAATTATTCATATACCTAAGTAAATATGGACGAGAATAACTATATCACAAGGTTCAGTTCTAGGGCCCCTCTTGTTCTCAATATATACATTTGATTTGGTCTTCAAAACTTGAGTGTAACTTGTTATGCCGATGATACCTAAAGCTTTCATTCTGACGATTTTAAAATGGCATGAGACTGAAATTAATGTTGATCACGGAAGTATTAATAACTGTTCTGATATTAATAACATAAAACTCAATCTTCAAAAATCAAAAGCAACCCTGAACTTCAAAAGTCACTATCAAAACAAAGTGTTTTAAACACATAGTAACACAAATTTTGATAGTACTTAATCTTATTGAATATATCTTATACAGTGACACAACCATTTTAGAAGCATTTAATACCTTATCAAGTATTCAGTAACATACATTATTATAGTCCGTACTAATGGGTGATTCATTTATAAGTACTTTTTTCAGCAACAAAATAAAATAACAAATTTTTTCTTGTCAAATCTTTTTTATTAAAGAAAAGAACTATTTTTGACATTTATTTTTTAAATGTTATTTCTTTCAAATGTTGGCCCTGACTGCGGTTGAGAAGGTCCATTCTAAAGTTCCAAGTTTCGATGACACGTTGGAGCATTTCGACTGGAATTTGGCGAATGACCTGCGTAATGTTGGCTTCTAATTCCTCAATCGTATTGGGCTTATCAATGAAGACTTTCGACTTAACGTAGCCCCAAAGGAAAACGTCTAGGGGTGTGATATCACGTGATCTAGGTGGCCAATTCACTGGTCCAAATCGTAAAATCAAGTGTTCATCGAAATGTTCTCGCAATAAAGCCATGGTTGCACGGGCTGTGTGGCAAGTGGCGCCGTCTTGTTGGAACCAAATGTCATCGAGATTACGGGCATCAATTTCAGGCAGCAAATAATCCGTTATCATGGCGCGGTAACGAGCACCATTCACAGTTACGTTCTGACCGGCCTCATTTTTAAAAAAATAGGGACCGATGATTCCACCGACCCATAAATCACACCAACCCGTTGTTTTCGCTGGATGTAATGGCAGCTCTTGAACCACTTCGGCTTTTTCTTCATCCCAAATATGACAGTTTTGTTTATTAACGTAGCCGTTAAGCCAAAAATGGGCCTCATCGCTAAACAAAATTTTGCTCGAAAAGATCGGATCTTCTTCAAGCCGTGCAAGAGCCCAAAGACTGAAACGATGACGCTTTGGAAGTCAGTTTCAATTCTTGAACGAGTTGAATTTTGTATGGTTTCAAATTAAGATTGTTACGTAAAATATGCCAAGTTGTTGGATACGACAAGCCAAGCTGTTGAGAACGACGCCGAATCGATTCTTCACGGTCCTCACGTATACTCTCAGGTACCGCAGGTATATTTTCTTCACTGCGTGCTGGATGTGGTCTATTTGGTCGGGTATTATTCAATAATGAAAATAGGGTTTCAAATTTTTCGACCGTACGGCGAACAGTGCGTTCGGTGGGTCGATTATGTACACCATAAGTTGCTCTAAGTGCACGAAACACACTTCTCGCAGAACGTTGATTTTCGTAGTACAGCTGAATTATTTGTAGACGCTGTGCTGGACTTAGGCCCGTATCGTCAGTCGCCCCTACAATTGTAGGGCGCGTTTATGGCCTCCTTGATTGTCATAGTTTTCTACTTCTCCATGTCAGAGCTCTATTTTGAGGTTATGTCACAAACATCTATTTGCATCAAATTGTGCTTGCTTTTGAGTTATATCATGTTTTATCAGCCTGAAATTTCCTACAATTTAAAAGGAAAACATATTTTAACAATAGGAGAGCGCTGGCGCTGACACGGGACGAGTGTAATCTAGAAATTTTTGAAGGAGAGAAAAGAGTATGACAGTCAAGGAGGCTATAAACGCACCCTACAATTGTAGGGACGACTGACGATACGGGCCTAAGTCTTTCCATGATGAAATGTCGAACAATACTGAAACAGGAAATATAAAAAAAGTATCTCTAAATGACGCACCCGATATATAGCATATACTTAATTTAGAATTTTCTTTATTTCCAAATATTGGTTTGTAGATTGACCAATGGCTAGACTCCGCTATTTGCATCACACTTTTTAATGTTTTCTTGATGTTAATGATGCAATAAAGACATATATTATTATTATTACTAATGTTAAAAATGGACTAAGTAACACTCGGAGGTACTTACGAGAAGTCATAGAACTTGGTTTTGTCTCTGATTGTCATGTGCGCAGCGCTATACGAGTTTCCTCGGAAATTCACTAGCCATACATAGTACCCCTGCTTAATTAGTTGTTGGACTGGAAGTATAAGAGATCATAAGAAGATAACCATCGCTAAGTTGCAAATATATTATACTAGGCTCGTATCCTGTCTGATTCAACCAAAATCACACTTTTTGCATGTACATGTTAAGACAATACCCATGACCATAATAGTCTGCGAGCTCATACACCTTCTGAGTAACGCATGTGTTTAGAAGCTAGTTATTTTTACAAAGATTTTTACATTACATGTTGAGCACGGTAACAACAACCTAGTACTTAATATATTTTTTGTAAGGAAGTTTATAAATTGAAGGACCTTGAACAGAATCTATGGAAAATGGATTCTAGTTCGATTAATATAAAGGTTCAGTAAATATAAATATAGATATAGTATATAATGAATAAGGTCTCATAGAACCGAAGCAATTCTATGATTAGTTTCTGAGAGATTTGGAGAGGAAGTTTTCCGGGTTTAAAAAATGGTGAACGCACCGATTGCAGGACCCAGATCAAATACTCGGAAGGAAGTATTTCATTTAAAAAACCTTTTAGAAAGGTGTGTTGGTAGATGTCATGTTGACAATGATCATGATCATTACAAGGACAATTTAAGGGCAAGCTTATTTTTATTTGTTGACTCTGAAATGCATCTGTCAAGAATTCATAAGCATTCACTCAAGAGAACAGCTGTTGTTTTCGATTTTGATATATACAAGGTCAATTCGGGGTCATGTTGATTTTTATAGCATACTGTTGTGCACATAGCTTTGGGGTATTGTAATTTACTGGCTATTAATTGAGTACTTTGTTTTGGTCTGCTATCGGCATATCGAACTTTGTCAAAGGATCATAAACACTAAGAAAGTGTTAAAAAAAACTGAAAAATTCTTTGTGTGGATACCTTCTACTGCATCTAACGTTAGCCCACCGTTGCTAACAGCTGAAGAACTAATCCAGCATTAGCACCCCCATAAATAATTATCGGAATATATCAAACATTGTTCACAAATAGATTCATATAAGAGCTCCTAAGAAATGAGGCTACCGTGTACGACCACGCTCTTTGCCACAAGCTGAGGAAGCTTTTCTCATAAAAAGCCCAAATACAGCACTAATGCTTCTGACAAAACCTACGTTTTTTTATTACAGGGAATTGCACTAGAAGCTGTTTAGGCATGGGAAGTATAGATTCAATTTGCTTTACGCCTGTTTTTTAGGAGCCAGTTCATTTCATCACTCTCGGACATGAATACGCTTTTCCAGATGAAAAATAAGGCATTCTGAAAATATTACTTCGCCTCCATTATTATACAGTTTATAAAGAATTAAAACTATTGTACGCGGCAACTAAATGAGATAATCTTATTTTTTCTTATGGACACCATCCATAGAAGCTGAACCAGTTACTGGATTGTCAAAATGTCACTTGTTTACCCGATGTCGTTCAAGACTTGCTTCAGAAAATCTCATTTCCAGTGATGTCCTTTAGAGGCCTGTATCTCGGAAATAAGGCGGTATATCGAAAGTCGTAAGGATAAATTGGTTTTGGAAAGATTCAAAGGGTCTTCTTTAAATATTGCTTTATCACATGCGAGGTCCAGATTTTACATAGGCTCCTGAGAAATAAAAGGTGGTGTGTGCTACATATGTTATATATGGGTCGACGAACAATGAAAGAAATATCGATATGTTTTACAGTTATGGTGAATGGGCATTGTCAAATAGATGCATCTTTGTACATTCACCAGAATTTTAAAATAGGTAATTTTGGCGTCCAAGTTACTTTCATATTTGTCTATCAACTCTCAATTCCGATTCGTGTTCATGCAGAAAAAACACGTGGAAAATACAGTCGGATTCCCAGCAAATACCTTTTTACTTTTGTGGATGTGTATTAAAGAAAGTGTCTAGCTTTCAAGCCCGACCGCTAGTTGGAGGGTGTATGAGGTTACAGTCTGTAATGTAGAATAGTTAAATTGGAGTAATGATAGAGCTGGAGCATTTATCCTCATTTAGATAAACGCGTCTGATCGAACATCATTTTGCTTCCATAAAAATCTGTCTACAGATTACGAGAAATTGGAGCGTCCAGGAACTAGTTTTTTTTAGAGGATAGAATTTGCTACAAAAAAGATCTTTTACTTTTTCCCGACACCTTGACAGTTCTTGAAGTATAAGGAGAGAAAGTTGGAAATTCATATCATAATGAGGAATTTAATTCAAATTATTACCATAAACTATATTACATAGGATCCATGGTTATACAGATTCTCGATTAAACGATTTTGTAAATGGTGGTAAATGCTCCAGCCCTATCATGACACCAGTGTGAACTTGTCGTTAGGGAGTAATATTCTAACGATACCACCAAGAACATTTAAATGGATAGTATACGGCATAGTGGGCAAATATGTCCGTTACATCTTACTCTTGCGAATACGGTTTACTTACTCACTAAACAAATTCAAAACAAAGATTTTGTTTCATCTATTCTAAATCTATTTTACAGTCAGCAATGGTCACACGTGACATACCGTATCGTAATCAAATTTAAGTGTGCCTACATTAGGTGCAATTCCTAAATAATATACACACTAATAATGTTTATGTGTCCAATATTTTATCTCCTAGCCTTGTAGGATTTAGGACCTCTCTTGTATTTTCATAACTTCGCTTCAAGTGCGACCATATCTAGAGGGTGATTGCGACTTATGTTGCAGTTTGTCCCTTTTTAAAATTGTTTATTTATTTCTTTGCAGTTTCTCTGATAATGGTAATGATGAAGATATGTAGCTGAGTTTTTACATTATTATGGTAATTTGAGTTTCTTAATCTTAGAGTTAGGTTTATGATTGCTTTACCAGTACCACTAGACAATGATATACAGGGTGACGGGAAAATAGATGCGGTGCCGATCAGAGCAGATAGTACAAGCCAATCTGAGTCAATTTTCGTTCATCTCAAAAACTCAATTTACTAGAAACAATCACCTACAAATTTTCCGTGCAAAAGAATTTTAAAATATCTACGTTTCATTACCTTTCAAGTGAGGTATCAAAGTCCTAAACCGGTTTAGGAATGACAAGGATATGAGTGAAAGAAGCAGGTAGAGCCGCGAACATCGGACTTTGCCACTTTGTCACCTAAAGTGTGATAAGTAAGACTAGTAACGGGGGGTTCAATCTGCTCTTGCGATTTGTTACGTTCGGATGTGTTTGTTTGTTCATTGTTTTGATATTTCTAACGACTTGGCTCTTGTTGGACTTCCGTGTGTTATTCTTTTCTTGACGCATGCAATTTCCTCGTTTTATTTTAAACGCTGATGTTGAAGATAGCAATTATTTAAGAAAATTCTATGGACCGACGAATCAAAATTTGATAAAGATGGCATAACAAACTACCATAACGTTCACTATTGGCGTGAACGTGCAGTGGGAAATCCTCATATGAAGAGACCAAAAGGATCTCAAAAGCGATTGTCTGAATGTCTGGATGGGTATTATAAATAACTGTTTGGTAGGACCACATTTCCTACCCGACAACTTAAATGGAGAAGCCGACGAACATTTCTTCAGAAATGTTCTATTTGAATTACTTGAAGACGTGCCCAGCACGTTTCAGACTAAGTGTTTGAAATTGGTTAAATGAGCAGTTTCCGAATCGATGGATCGGTAGAGGCGGACCAATCCCATGGCCAGCACGCAGTCCCAATCTCACACCTATGGACTTTTTTGTGTGGGGTCGCATGAAAACTTTAGTATACTCTGATCAAAATCCTGTACCCATAATAGAAGACCTCAGAAACAGGATAATACATTCAGCACAAGAAATTCAAGCCTCACTTAGGAATTCGGCGGTAGTAAAATCAGCTGTCATAAGAAGAGCACGTGTGTGCATTAGAAATAGAGGGCGCCATATTGAAAATGTATTATAAAAATAAAAAAATGTAGTTTCAAACAAATTATCCTGAATTAAGGTATGATTTTGTAAGTGTAGTATTTAGTAGAAACACCTAATTTTCAAGTTTTATCACTTGGTTAACGTATAAAGGACGTTAATTTTATAAAATCTTAAAGATTACTATAATTCGAAAACGACAGTGATTCACATAGTAAAATCGACTCATATTGGCGTGTACTATCTTCCCCCACCACCTCCGCATCTATTTTCCCGTCATTCTGTATAAATCGATGCCGAATTGCCGACGGTGATAATTTTTAACTAATCGATACATAAATTTGATATACGCTTTTAGAGAGACAAGTGTTCATTAAGTGACGTTACAGAAATCGTACGTTGCCTTATAGACACAATATATTCTTCCAACAAGTGCTTACTCCTCTTTTATGGAACCAGTTATTTGATTGTTCTGTTCCTCTATATCAAAGCGTCATTACGGATCTTGCCGTACTGCAATATGTAGTACTCAAGCGATAACAAAGGTAAATTGTGCTAGGCTATAAGAGTGGGCCGGTGTACCGCTTTTTGAGATGAGAATGAATGCAACAAATCGGTTGTTATGAATCCAACAAATTCCCCATTAAATTGAATAAAAGGAAAGTGCATAAATACTTTCAGTACTCTTCATAGAGCAGTCGCCAACCTGTCAGTGACCATCCACAAAATTCCGCCAGACAAATTCCGTTCATTCTACTATGCTGTTATAGACGGAATTCACATGGCCGGATCCCAGACTGAGCCACCGATAAGTCACCGACTACTGTACGAGCAAAGCCTGAATAGGAAGTTTAGCACTACTTTCGACGTCCTTAGCACTTACCTATAGACATATCTCCCTGAAAAACCATAGAGTTCGAGTCCTGCATATGACCATGACCAACTACAACTGGATCGGGCAACATCTTCTTACCCGCCCTTTGGCCGTTTAGATCCCAAGCTTGTATAAGTTTCAAAGCGTACCCATCTTCAGTAATTACTAGGTGAGTGACTGAGAAGAAGCCCCACGTTGTAATAATTTGCTCCTGCAATGTTATCAAGAAAACCATCAAGATGCACTTATTTGCTGTTTTGATTCCAAACTTCTGCAACCGTATTCGCCAGTATCGTTTTTTGGGTTGCATTCTTGCAAACTACTGATATACAGGGTGACTGAGATAAACTACAATATATCTGGGTTAGACACTACATCTTAAAACAAGTTTCTATAAACATATCACATTACTAAGATACAGTGCATTGTAGATTCCTACGCCACTGATAGGACTGAATAAGGACAAAACGTAAACATTGTTTAAATAAGAATATGATGAATTAGGATTACTCTTATAGTCTTACACTATACGCTATTTTCAGTGTCAGACTCCAGTATCTCCATCGAATTTTCAAAGCAGAATGGATTGAAGCTTTTATATTTCAGCTATTTTTTGTCTAAAATAAAAAGTCCGACAAATATTTCTCGAACGAGGCTATACGTGTAAATTTGGATACAATATTCAGAAATGAAGTGGATGTTTGGAAATTAGCATAGGAAATGATCCCACAAGGTCCCTGTTTCTACGCCCGTGTGTATGCAGTCTCGTGATCGATATTTTTTGTATGCATTGGCTATGATAATAATAATAATAACAATAATAATAATAATAGGCCTTTATTTTACCTAGCGGGTATCATCTATGAAGCTGCTCTTACCACCAACCAGGGCTACACAAAAAATACAGTACAATTTAAAAAAACAAATTAAAAAGCAGATTAAAAGAAAATGTAAACGAACACACACTAACAAGGCACTCATTAAACACATTGAAAGAAAGCTCGATACAAAAAAGGATGAATAGGTTAGTACAAGATATCTATTAGCAGCCTGATACAACAAAGACACTTAAAATTTATTCAAGAATTGAAATAATGTTATCTAAAACGAATTGCTTGACCTTCTTTGCGAAACTAAATTTGGAAAGTGTTTTTACACTTGATGGCAATCTATTGTATAATTTGGGTGCGATATAAGAAAATGACTTCCTAAATTGAGCAGTTTTATGATACGGTATGCCCAGGGTGTAACCCACGAATCGTAGATTAACGCAATGCTGTTCACGCCTCAAGCTAAGCTTACTATTAAGATATATTGGCGTTTTTGTCATCATTGTAGTGTGGACCAGTGCCATTAAGTGAAATATCTCTGCGGCATCGTAAGCCAATTTGTTTCTCTTAAATGATTAGAAATTCTCTCTCTTCTTGCTACACCTCGAGAATACCCAACACAACTATTTTGAACCTTTTGAGTCCTGTACCTCTCAGCCTGTGTCAGGCATGGACCGAAAACCGAATCACCATATTGCAGTTTACTCAAAATCAGAGAGTCAGAGAGTCTAAATTTCGTTTTTTTGTGGTAGAACAGATTTATAACTGTAAAGTGTTTTAAGTATCGCGTAAGAGTTCTGAACGATTTTTGTGACATGATCGTGGAACGTTAGATATTCATCAAATATGATCCCCAAATTGCGTACTGTCGATTTATGAACTAGTGTTTCATTTGCGATACATAGATCTTACACTATACGCTATTTTCAGTGTCAGACTCCAGTAACTCCATCGAATTTTCAAAGCAGAATGGATTGAAGCTTTTTATTTGGTTTTTACCTAAATATTTCAGCTATTTTTTGTCTAAAAGAAAAAGTCCGACAAATATTTCTCGAACGAGGCTATACATGTAAATTTGGATACAATATTCAGAAATGAAGTGGATGTTTGGAAATTAGCATAGGAAATGATCCCACAAGGTCCCTATTTCTACGCCCGTGTGTGTGCAGTCTCGCGATCGATATTTTTTGTGTGCATTGGCTATGATAATAATAATAAAAATAACAATAATAATAATAGGCCTTTATTTTACCTAGCGGGTATCAGCTATGAAGCTGCTCTTACCACCACCCAGGGCTACATAAAAAATACAGTACAATTTAAAAAAAAACAAATTAAAAAGCAGATTAAAAGAAAATCTAAACGAACACACACTAACAAGGCACTCATTAAACACATTGAAAGAAAGCTCGATACAAAAAAGGATGAATAGGTTAGTACAAGATATATATTAACAGCCTGATGCAACAAAGACACTTAAAATTTATTCAAGAATTGAAATAATGTTATCTAAAACGAACTGCTTGATCTTCTTTGCGAAACTAAATTTGGAAAGTGTTTTTACACTTGATGGCAATCTATTGTATAAATTGGTTGCGATATAAGAAAATGACTTCCTAAATTGAGCAGTTTTTTGATACGGTATGTCCAGGGTGTAACCCACGAATCGTAGATTAACGCAATGCTGTTCACACCTCAAGCTAAGCTTACCATTAAGATATATTGGCGTTTCTGTCATCAGTGTAGTGTGGACCAGTGCCATTAAGTGAAATATCTTTGCGGCATCGTAAGCCAATTTATTTCTCTTAAATGATTAGAAATTCTCTCTCTTCTTGCTACACCTAGATAATACCTAACACAACTATTTTGAACCTTTTGAGTCCTGTACGTCTCAGCCTGTGTCAGGCATAAACCGAAAACCGAATCACCATATTGCAGTTTACTCAAAATCAGAGAGTCAGAGAGTCTAATTTTCATTTTTTGTGGTAGAACAGATTTATAACTGTAAAGTGTTTTATGTTTCGCGTAAGAGTTCTGAACGATTTTTGTGACATGATCGTGGAACGTTAGATATTCATCAAATATGATCCCCAGATTCCGTACTGCCGATTTATAATAATAATAATAATAAATGAGCTTTATTTCGTACCTAAGTAAAAGTACAAAAAAGTGTCGCTAAGATTAGCGTTTTTCAACTTAACCTTAACCTTAACCTTAACAAAAAAAAATATATGTATATAATAAAACATACTACCAACAAAAATGTATCCATAATTCTCAATAATTACTAAATAATTAAGAACACAGAACAATTACAAGAATAGTCCATATTTCTAGCATTTTGTACTCATCATCAGACCTCGACTTGTAGTTTTAGTTTAAGCCTCTTTTTAAAATTAAATAACGTATAGTTTTGGAATGTAACAGGCAGATCATTATATAATTTAATAGCATTGTAGCTGAATGATGTTTTGTAGACAGCCTTAGAATGTAAGGGTATCACTAACATATTCCTATTCCTTGTATTCAGTTGATTTATGTCATTACATCGTGTTAACTTATTATGCAAATATTGTGGTTGTTTGGTAGCTAAGACCTTATGTGTGAGTGTCAATAAGTGAAGCTTTTGCATGCCTTTAATCTGCAGAATACCAAGTTCCTTAAATTTATGAGAAATATGATCAAACTTTCGTATTCCGCAAGAAAATCTGATGCACGAATTCTGAATACGCTGTAATTTGCTTTGTTCACTATATGATAGAGCTGCGCCATATATACTGTCACAATAACTGATCTTTGATATAATTAATGTTTCACACAGTTTCAGCTTTACTGAAGTAGATATTATTTGCCTATGTGGATAAAACTGTTTCAAAATGCAGTATGATGCACTACATAACGAATTTACGTGTTTTTTGTATTTTAGTTCTGTGTCAATCCAGAGTCCCAGGTTTTTACACTCATTCATTATAGGAAGCCGGCAATCATAGATTTTAAGGTTAATTTCCGTTTCGATCAATGTTCTTTTGTTTTTTGAGCCGAAAACCATAACTAAATATTTAGATGGATTAATTTTTAGGTTATGCGAGCACTAGATGTCTACTAGCCTTGTTAAGTCTTCGTTGAGCAATGCTTCTGCAATTTTAAAATCTTTGTGTGGGAAACTAAAATAAATTTGAGTATCATCAGCATAGTGATGGATTGTGCAATTATGGACATATTGATGGAAATCCGATATATATAGAGAGAAAAGTAAAGGTCCCAGTATGGAAACTTGAGGAACACCAAAACTTATAGCAGTTGACTGTGACATTTTCGAAGCCGTTAAGACCTTTTGATTTCTATTTGACAAATAGCAGCTAATCAAATTGACTGCAGCATCAGTAAAACCATAGTAAGACAGCTTAAGTAGCAGAATTTCAGGGTCTATCATATCGAAAGCTTTTGTGTAATCCAGCAGAACTAAACAAGTGATATTTCCTTGATCAAGGCCTCTTATAACATCACCAGTGACATTGGCTTGAGCAGTTGTTGTACTATGGTTTTCCCTGAATCCAGACTGCATTGATGGAACTATTTCATTACTGAAAATATACTGAGATATTTGTATCTTCATTTCCCGTTCCAAAATCTTCGAAAATGCGGGAAGTAAGCTGACTGGTCTAAGTTGCGTTACAGACGTGGGAATCGCTACTTTAGGAACAGGTATGTATGATGATAGCCTGCTTCCAAGCATCAGGGAAACAGGATGTTGATATTGCGTGATTGATTATAAATGTAATATGGTCTAAGGGCAAAGTGAAAATGTATTTTATCATAGTGAGTGAGATTCCATCAGCCCCTACAGCATTAGTTTTAATAAATGAGAAACTCTTCGCAACAGATTCTTTGGCAACCTTTTGGAAACAGAAGGACTTGGGAAACCTATTGTTTTGATATTTGTTCAGTAGTTCTAATTGCTTTTGTGTCTTGGTTATGATCGGAATATTTGAGAAATGTGAATTTATTCCATCTGCGTCATTGAAGCTATCTGGAAGAGTATTTATAGAGGACTTAATTATATTAAGTTTCTTAAGAGAACTCCATATTGCGTTACTGTTCCTCCCAGATAGGATATATTCCATATAAGACTTTTGCTCTCTCCGCAGAGCAGCAGCAGCGTAATTACGGAGTTCTTTATAATAGTTCCAGCGGGCAGTTGACTTACTTCTTTTAAACCTTAGATACGCTTTATCTCTAGCTTTATTGATCATTTTAATATTGTATGTTAGCCAAGGAGCTGGTGGCTTAGTAACTCTAAGTGTTCTCATAGGTGCACAATTATCAAATAAATTTAGTATGTTGCTATTTAAAAAATTTACCATGTCATTAACGCTGTTTA